AGGTCAGTATCATTGTCTTCACTTCACAGACGAGGAAACTGAGGCAACGGAAGGTTGAGTGACTTGCCCCCAGTCACCCAGCAGGCCAGTGGCAGAGCTGGGAATAGAACCCAGGTCTCCTGAAGCTTGGCCCAGTGCTCCATGCACTACGTAAAAGACATGAGCATTGGCTTACTAAACCCAGGGTTGTGAGTTCAAACAAGGTCCCTCACCAAAGGCTCTTAAGTAAGTTGTCATGGGATAAAAGGGAAGGTCCTTTCATGGATTGAGAACTGGTTAAAAGACCGGGAACAAAGGGTAGGAATTAATGGTAAATTCTCAGAATGGAGAGGGGTAACTAGTGATGTTCCCCAAGGGTCAGTCCTCGGACCAATCCTATTCAACTTATTTATAAATGATCTGGAGAAAGGGGTAAACAGTGAGGTGGCAAAGTTTGCAGATGATATACTAAACTGCTCAAGATAGTTAAGACCAAAGCAGACTGTGATGAACTTCAAAAAGATCTCACAAAATTAAGTGATTGGGCAACAAAATGGCAAATGAAATTTAATGTGGATAAATGTAAAGTAATGCACATTGGAAAAAATAACCCCAACTATACATACAATATGATGGGGGCTAATTTAGCTACAACAAGTCAGGAAAAAGATCTTGGAGTCATCGTGGATAGTTCTCTGAAGATGTCCGCGCAGTGTGCAGAGGCGGTCAAAAAAGCAAACAGGATGTTTCTCTATCCCCATTAAAAAGGGGATAGAGAATAAGACTGAGAATATATTATTGCCCTTATAGAAATCGATGGTATGCCCACATCTTGAATACTGCGTACAGATGTGGTCCCCTCATCTAAAAAAAGATATACTGGCACTAGAAAAGGTTCAGAAAAGGGCAACTAAAATGATTAGGGGTTTGGAACAGGTCCCATATGAGGAGAGATTAAAGAGGCTAGGACTCTTCAGCTTGGAAAAGAGGAGACTAAGGGGGGATATGATAGAGGTATATAAAATCATGAGTGATGTGGAGAAAGTGGATAAGGAAGTTATTTACTTATTCCCATAATACAAGAACTAGGGGTCACCAAATGAAATTAATAGGCAGCAGGTTTAAAACAAATACAAGGAAGTTCTTCTTCACGCAGCGCACAGTCAACTTGTGGAACTCCTTACCTGAGGAGGTTGTGAAGGCTAGGACTATAACAGGGTTTAAAAGAGAACTGGATACATTCATGGAGGTTAAGTCCATTAATGGCTATTAGCCAGGATGGGTAAGGAATGGTGTCCCTAGCCTCGGTTTGTCAGAGGGTGGTGATGGATGGCAGGAGAGGGATCACTTGATCATTACCTCTTAGGTTCACTCCCTCTGGGGCACCTGGCATTGGCCACTGTTGGCAGACAGGATACTGGGCTACATGGACCTTTGGTCTGACCCGGTATGGCCGTTCTTATGTTCTTATGTTCTTATGTTCTTGAGGGGGCCACTTAGGGAACTGGGGTAAAAATCTGGGGATTGGTCCTGCTTTGAGCAGGGGGTTGGACTAGATGACCTCCTGAGGTCCCTTCCAACCCTGATATTCTATGATTGCGCCTCTAGATTGCAAGCTCTGTAATGATCTTATTGACCTATAAATCTGCAAAGTGTCATGTGCCCCTGAGCTAATGTAAGTCATAATTAATTATCATGCTTCTACAAGACCATTATCAAAATGAAGTTAAAAAATAAAACTATGCAGTATATTTTTAAATGCCCTCTAGAGTCTCCCCTTTTAAAGCTGCAACAAAAAGTTCACCATCACCAGCTGGACACGGCCCTTTCAGCAGCAGCTGCAGCAACAGCTGAGAAGAAAGTTTGATAAAAATGTTACATCTTCGCAATGATCATGGCCTTGTGAAGCTCTTATGAAGAGACACTCTGGCAAAATACTCATCCATTCTGAGTGGCATGAGGGGCTGACAAATCAGAACATGTGAATGTTAAGCTTTCAACATAGTACAGTAATAGGTGAAGTGGTTCAAGAGTTCACTTGCTTTTGCTGAAATGGTTTATGAAAATCGTATGTTCTGGGTTCCGGAGATATGAATTGATCAAGTGACATTAAGTCAGTCTATTTTGGCCCTGGACTATGTGAAAGAGGAGAAGAGGAATGAAGGATTAGAATGATTAGGCTTGATTGTTGGTTTACTTTTTCATGTTGGAACAATTATAGAGCATGACTGATTGTTGTATTAATTAATCAGAAGCAATCATCTTTTAAATGCTGTGATTAACGTGGCGCCTGTTTAACCGTATGCTGAATTTTCCAAACAAAATATGTAGCAGTTTTGAAGCATAAAAAGGAAAAGTTAAATCCAAGCTAGCTACAGAGTTTCTTTACCACTGGACTCACAGAGTATGTCTACACAGCAGTGTAAGCAGAGGCGAGAGCCCGGGCTCTAGCCTAATCTGCCTTGCATCCACACACCAATTGTGTTAACCTAAGGCTTGAACCTAGGGTCCCAGGACCATGAAGAGCTGGAGGGTCCGAGCCCATGTTAAGATGGGACCTAGGGTTGCTTTCCTGTGTGCACGCAGCCCTGGATTGACTTGGGTTCTGTAAATTCTCTGGATGTATCCCAGAGTTCCCTGAGGCAACTTTCTTAGTCCTTTCTATGCCGACAATCTGTGGTGCAGTCTATTGCACTCTGTTGCAGATGGAAGCCACACCTTCCTTTGCAAAGGGCAGCAGCTTAGGTCAGTGTTAACCCATTGTCTGCTGAGCACCAGTCTGCAAGGGCACTATCAGAGAGCCTGCAAGGTTTTCAGTGGAGACGGATCAGAAGAAGCTTTTTGCAAAGAGAGCTGCTTCCTGGTCACAAGAGCACAGCCAGATTTTGGTGCATGCTGCCTGGGCGCCCCTGCACATGCAGCCCCAGGGAGCACGGTGGGAGGCGGGGCGAGAGTGGAGCAGGCACTAAGCGGCTGCCCTGCAGGGATGGGGAGCAGCAAAGCTCCCGGCTCAGCCTAGTTGGGGGAGGGATTACCCCCAACATCCTTCCTGCAGGGCAGCCCCCCTTCCTGCAGGGCAGCCGCTTAGTCCCTGCTCTGCTCTCTGCCCTGCCCTGCCCCCCCCAACCCTCCCTGGGGCTGTGTGTGCAGGGATGCCTGGGCAGCATGCACTGTCAGGCAGCAAGCGGGAGCCAGCCCCAAACTTCCTCCTCTGCTGTGCAGAGTTTGCCTGCAGCAGGGAGCAAAGCTGACAGGCAGGAGGTGGCTGCCAGGATGTTGGACGTCATCTCTCCCCAAGCCAAGCCGAGATGGAGGCTCTGCCCCTTCCCAGCCCTGCAGGGCAGCCACTTGGTCCTGCTCCACTCTCTGTCGCTTGCTCCCAGGTCTCCCTGGGGCTGCGTGTGCAGGGGTGCCCGTGCACTGTGAGTGCCATGAGTGGGATCCGGCCCCAAAACTTCCCCCAGCCTCCCAAGGAGCCTTATCTCTGTCTCCCGGGCTGAAAAGGGGGCAGGGAGGAGGGATCCCCAGGGGGTGCTGGAGCACACCGCTCCACAGCCGGAAGGGCCAGGCTGGGGTGTGTGTGTGTTTTTCCTCTGAAACCTACATTTTATGTCAAAGTTCAAAACAAACAGACAAAAATAAATAAAAAACCAACCTTCCCATTTTTGAATGTCCCATTTTAAAAATGAAGAATTGCAAAGTTTCACTTTAATAGTTTGATACTCCTGGAGACTGATGTCCTCGTTAGCCTCAGAACAGGTGCACACGGGCATTTTCCTGCCAATGTGACTCAGCGTAGAGGTGGAGAGCCCAGTTCTCAGATTAGATGGTAGTTTAATATATAAAGCCGGGGGCCGCATCTAGCCCTTCAGATGTTTTAATCTGGCCCTTGAGCTCCTGCCAAGGAGCAGGGTCCAGGGCTTGCCCCGCTCCATGCGTGCTGTGGCTCTGTGCAGCTCCCGGAAGCAGCAGCATGTCCCCCGCTCTGGCTCCTATGCGTAAGGGCAGCCAGAGGGCTCTGCATGCTGCCCCTGCCCCAAGCGCCACCGCCACATCTACCATTGGCCAGCAACTACGGCCAGCGGGAGCTGCAGGGGTGGCAGCTATGGCTGGGGCAGCGCACAGAGCCGCCTGGCCATGCCTTCACGTAGGAGCTGGAGGGGGGGCATGACGCTGCTTCTAGGAGGTGCTTGAGGTAAGTGCCACCCAGAGCCTGCACCCCGACCCCCTCCAGCACCCCAATCCCCTGCCCCAGCCCTGATCCCCATCCCGCACCCTGAACTCCTCATTTTCGGCTCCACCCCAGAGTCCGCACCCCCAGCCGGAGCCCTCGCCCCCTCCTGTACCCCAACCCTCAATTTCATGAGCATTCATGACCCGCCATACATTTTCTATACCCAGATGTGGCCCTCGGGCCAAAAAGTTTGCCCACCCCTGGTATAAAGCCTCAAACTGCAGTCAACCTACTGAGACAGCCACCAAAGGAGCTAATTATGCAGTTTATGTACCCATGCTCCGTATGGGTACCGGAGTCCCATCAATAGCACCGTCACAGTTAGGAAAGAGGGTGAGCAGTAGAGTTTTCCCACAGTGCAACACATTCATAGGGCTAGAGTGTCAACACCGGAGGAGGGAGGGGCGCTAGGCACTCTGACATAGAGTTACTTTGACTCGGGTCTGTGCACTGTAGTGTGGACATCAGAGCCCAAGGTTCAAGCATGGGTCAAAAAATCCGTATCTAGGGTTAAAAGGCAGTGTAGACCCTCAAGGTTCCCAGATACAGGTTAGCTGACTCGGGTCCCACTAACCCTAGCCTTACATTACTGTGTAGACATACCCACAATAGAAGGAGTAGTAGAGAAAGTGATGCATGCTTTGCCAGAGCTCCCAGCATAGGTGCCTCATGATAAGAAGTTAATGTGACCCTTTCATGTAATTCCAAGTACTGATTTTACCTGCAGGCCTTAATTATGGTAATGGTCGCGGGTTGTATTAAGTCTTGTTTTCCTTTCTTTCCGTAGGCTTGTTGATTGGCTCTGGCTGTGCTCTCTATCCTTTGGGTTGGGACAGTGAAGAAGTTAGACAGACCTGTGGCAACCTTTCCAACCAGTTTGAATTGGGTAAGTAATTGTCAATGGATCTCAGTTCCTTTAAATTCGATCTCATCTATTGTCTCTAAACGCAGAGAGAAGCCTGGAGAGCAGGCTTACTGGGAGCAGTCCTTGCATATTTGCCGGATGCGGGTGTGTATATTATTGTATTGCTTCATGTCAGTGTGATACGGCATGGGACTCCTTCGATCTTTACTATTGATATTTTCCCATGGAACATCACAAATATCATCAAAAGGAAAAACTCTTTTTGAAAGCAGACTCTCTGAAGAGAAATTAGAAGCAGTTACATCAAGAGACCGAGGGGTGACAGAAGACAGCAGGTTAGATGTGAATTTGGCATATGGCAGCAAAAAAGTCAATGGAAGTTTTAGCTGCAGGTGTGTGTGGAGGGGGAATTCATGGTTTACTGTGAGGGGGAAATTCATGGTTTACATCTGGGAGGTATAAAGGGGCCAATCGTGGAGAGATGCCATTGGCTGCTCAAGTACATTGAACTCAAATGTCCAAATAAATGTGCAGGGACTTCGTCACTTCCAACTCCTTCAAGCAAATCAGTGGGGTCACTCTGGGAATCCTTTCATGACCTGCACTTGGTGGAGTTCGTAATTCCCTGGCAGTAGTCCCTCTCTAAAGGACTCTGGCATACTTATCAGTCTTTTCTTGCCCATGGGGGTAAGGACAAAACTAGAATGTTTCTTCATTTTGCACAAATATTGTAACCAGGTCTACAGCCAAACCATCCCTCCCCGAGAGATATTTGTCCTTGGCTCATAAAGCTACTTAGGAACCTCTGCAAACCTTTTGACCTTGGGATGCAACAGATTGCCCTGAACGTCATAGATTGCCAAAAATAGTCTCTTGGCCTGGATACCCCAGTCTGCCCTCCGAAAACATTATCCTGTCTTGAAATGAATTTCTTAATTCAAATATTCTTGGCTATTACTATGTTTAGTACATATTTTCTTCCAATGAAATATAAAAATTCCTTCAATTATTCTACAAATATTTGCAGTATGCAAACACCAAGGACGGAGAGGAATTAAGAAAAGGAAGACGTAGGTTAACAATCAGGGCAGATTTCCTGAGAGCGAGATCAATAATACTGTGGAATGGTCTCTCAAAGTAAGTAGAGGAAGAGGAACTCCATTGCGGGTTAAGACGTGACAGAACACTAGAAAGTAGATTGCAGGGAACAATCTTAATAGATCTTGTGCATCTCTGATTTCAATTATTTCATTCTAAGTACCACCATTTTGCTCTTGCCAAAGTACAGCAAACAGCTACATTTCTCTGCTCCTTCTTGGGAAAGCACCACACAAAGATGTTTTGTGTGGCAACTTGAATTCTTTTTGATGGCAGCGGCTACAAGAAGTTCCTAGAATAATCTTATGTTTAAATAACTTCTTGGTGGGAGAGCTGTGAATTCAGTGAGTTTAGAAGCACCCCTTGCCCTCTCTTGTCCCCGAGATCATGACTCATGAACCTGGCATGTGAATAAGTCAGGCTATTGTAACAATACATTCAATAAAAGAACCCTTCTGAAAGAATTCAGCTGTCAGCTTTTTCTTCCAGGAATTCATAAGGAATATGAACAGGGGACATATAATTGTGACGCTTGATACTCTGCCCATATTTTCTGGATTTCAAGGCTATAAGGCATCTATTATGCATACCTAAGCTTGACTAGAGTCCTGGTTGTGCTGACTGTTAGAATCTTATGTTACCATAGTAATTAACAGATTATAATGAGACCAGAAATCTGCTAAGTCTCTCTTCAGTATACCTTGTCTGAATTTAAATGCTTGGTTTTGAATTTTTACAAGTTTAAATTGGTGGATGTTGGTGCTGAGTTACCCAAGACATTGGCAGGGTAGAGGTGGAGTACTGGGACTGCATATTAGCCAGATTGCTCATTTCTTTTCATTTAAACCTTACAATTACTGATAACCCAAGCCTAGGCTTTTTTATTTAATCATTAGAGACTGATGTTTCCATTATAGCTTTAGGGCCAAAACCGGTGTTTCACAGAATCCGTCTCACTAAGTCTCAAGATGCATTTGAGTAATTATTGCTTTCATCTGAATATTTAATTTGATTAAGCAGCATTCATTTGATTTTTCCTTTTGAATCGGTGGGACCAGTTGCCTCCAGAACCGCACACAAGTTGCATTTAAACAATATGCACAGAAAGGTGAGCTGTGAGTGCAGTGGGACAGATGCTGGTCAGCCTCTGAGTGGGTGTGCAGCGGGCGGGTGTGTATGGACAGGGCCGGCTCTAGGATTTTTGCCGCCCAAAGCAAAAACAATTTTGGCCACCCCTCCCCCCCCGTTTTTTAATTACCCCACCCCCGGCCCCGCCTCAACTCCGCCCCTTCCCCAAATCCCCAGCCCCGCCTCTTCCCCCCAGGCTCTCAAGCCTGGGAGGGAGGGAGGGGGAGAAGCGGCGCCTGCGCCGCAGCCACTCGGAGTCTCCCCCTCCCTCCCAGGCTCTCAAGCCTGGGAGGGGCGGCGAGTAGCGGCGCGCGAATCAGCTGTTTGCGCGAGCGGCAGCAGCAGCGGAGGTGAGCTAGGGCGGCCGGGGCACATTTTTAGGGGCGGCATTCTGGCGCCAGCCATGCCGCCCCTAAAAATGTGCCGCCCCAAGCACCAGCTTGTTTTGCTGGTGCCTAGAGCCGGCCCTGTGTATGGAGTTCCTTCTGTCACCCCTTCACCCATGTGCAGGAGCTAGCTAGAATCATGTTGGAGCATAGCTCCTGCTCCAGGCTAATACTCTCACAGGTGCTAGTTGTCTGCCAGGGCAGAGAGCTGGCCGGGCACTGAGCAGGAGAGTATGCTGCATCCTCTTCAAGGGTATCAGAGCTGCTGCTCTAGTATGGGCACCCGAGGAGCACCTGAAAGACAGATGGGTGGTCCAAAGCGGTGGCAGAATGGAACCCTATTGGACTCTGTATAAGATGAGCCAAGAGAACTCTGAGGCCTTTCAGAAAGGAAAGTGTGGAACTGGGCAACAAAATCATCCACCCACAACAAATCACACAGACAAATCAGCAACATCATAGTAAAGACTACTGATAGCTCCAATAAAATGAACAGACACCTGGCATTCATTCTTCACTAGTAACTGTCAGCCAAGGTTGTTAACTCAGTTTCTAGGACTGGAACTAGACTGACAGGGATTCAGGAAGTCAGATGGTTCTAGATCAGTGGTTCCCAAGCTGGTGTTCGTGAACCCCTGGGGGTTCGCAAAATGTTACAGGGGGTTCTCAGGAAAAAATTCCCTAATGGCGGACAGAGCTGTTCCTAGGGTCCCCGGGCAGCATGGGGCCAGCAGCATGGAGCCCCTGGACTTCCAAGAGCTAAGCAGATCAAAGCAAGCATATGTATTACACTGAGGAGATATAAACTTCAAGAATCCTTATAAGAAATGGAAAGGGAGGTGGATATTTTTTGCTGTTTTTAAAATTAAATAGGCAGCTAGTATTGTTTTTAAAATTATTATGAAGAACAAGTTGAAGCTTTGTTGTAACGTGCGTTGTTTGCCTGGACTGCTCAAGACCTGAATGCTTGTGTAGGAGGAACTCTTTGAGTTGGCTTCTTAAATACTTTCATGCTGTTTCACATCTGATACTCCTTGATGAAACATAGGAGCCTTGTCTTATAATAGGCTTATTCAAAAAGTGATACAAGCTACAAAAGTCAGATCTTGGAAGAGTGTTGCCGTTTTCATAATGTAATAAAAATACTGCATTGCTAAATAATAATTAATAATAGTGTGTAATAAGCATGTCATAAAAACAAATTTTATATTTCCAAGATCACTGCTTTTATAATTTATACTCAGGTAAAGGAGAAAATCCCTGGAAATATTCATTTTTAGGAGCGGGTTTGTGAGACTTGACATTTTAGTGAAAGGGGTTCACAGATTGTTAACGTTTGGGAACCACTGTTCTAGATGAACCCAGAGTTACCCTAGCACAATCTTCTGGGTTACCTTCCCCCAAAAGAGAAAGCTAGAGGCAAAATGGCATTTGGCAAATTTGTCTTAGTTACATCAAGTGATGATTTCTTAGGCATAATCACCACTTATAAAATGGCTAGCAGGCCAGTTCTGCTGGTCTGGACAGGGGCCAAGAATAAGCTATTTTTGGCCTCCGCCACAGTAACATGTTAGGAATGTAAACTTCTCTATGCTACATTTTAATGGATATTGAGCAAGTTTTCTGCAACTGACCCATTAGTCTGTAACAAATTAACTATCCAGGGAGGAGGCTATCTGTATACCTCTGAGGATGGTGCAGAGAAAGGTGGTGGCAGGAACAGTACATGAGAAACCAAATAGAGAAATTAACGAGGAATTGAGTCAACACCCAATGGTGGCAGAAAACAACTGGAGCACTCTAGAGAACTTGCTAGGACTGACAGAATTGATGTGGAGCTGCTGCAAGAAGTGTGGGCCAGGAGTTGAGCTGCAGGAAGCAGCAAAGGCTGAGAAGGATCTGTTGTGACCTTAGGGAGCCCCAGTTGCGGTCAAAGCCAGGACAGCAAAATGGATTAACTGGAGAGGGAGCTGGGAACTACTTGGTGGGAGGAGGACTGGGGCAGTCTGGAGAAAGATGATGACTGACCTGGTGCTGGATCTTTAGGATGGGTGGATGAGAAGAATGGGGTGGTGAGTCTGGGATTTCAAGTCATGAGATAAAAAAAAAAGTGGCTGAATTTTGCATCATATAAGACAAGGCTAGCCAGAAATCTTCAGGAATTAACAGTTGAACGTAGTGGGTTTAAGAAAAGAAACGCAACTCCCCAAGTACAAAATGATATAGATGTACTTTGCACACAGATAGACAGGGAAAATAGCAACAGTGTATAATCCTTAGTGGATGTGTAACCCACACATCTCCTGGGTGTGGTGTTCTGTCTCATCTAGTGGCACCGAGACCACGTAGAGAGAGAGAGAAAATGAGTCTGCTCTATAGCCTTAGCTAACAAGCAGTTGGCTTTTAGCT